AACTATTCATCTTTGATTAGTTAGCTTAAGGTTAAACTAATCATATTAACTTGATTCGTTAGTATTTAATTATCACCTAAAAATAGTTTACTAGTTGACTTAACACTGTCCATCAACGTTTTCATGTCCTTTTATTCTTTTTGGTGGTCCTAGACTTGTAGGGATCTTTCCTTCATATCCACACATGCATGCATCATGGTGGACGATGAATGGACCATAATTTTCGTTAAGAAGTTCAAAATATATATATAAAAAATGAATCCCCTTATACTCATATGGCACCGCCCTTGACGATAAAGTCATATTTATTTTTTCTTAGGATAGAAAATATAAGAAAAAATACACACAAAAAAGTCAATTCGAAATTTAACATCTAACATTCATGCTTAAAATATAATTTTGACTTTATAGATATACTATAATTTTAAACAAGAATATGATCCTCTAGCTCCAACCCCATGAGTTAGAACATGAGCAGACCTAAAGGTTGACGAGGGAGTTGTAAAAAAAATAATATTGTATATTTAAGATGTTTTCAAAAAAAATTTTATGTTTGTGTATTGATTTGAACCTCCTAAATGTAAGATTTGAGATTGACTTAGTGGTTGAAGAGTTCAAAACTCACGTTGAGGTTTTAAGTTCAATTCTTAGGCACTAATATGATTGAGTCGACAAACTATTTGCAGGTCTTAGGATAAATTTTAGTGAAGACAAAAACACTATAAAATTATTAAGACGCTTACTATACGCCATGGAAGATAATAGTTAAGTATTGTCGCATTATCAATAATACATTTATAAAATAAAATTAATTGAAATGTGCCTAAGCTGACTCGAACGCACCAAATTCGGAGGGTTTTCACTCTTTTTGGGATAAGAAGACATTAATCCAAGAGTACCAGGGACATACATAATGTGCCAAACAAAGAAGGGTAATGATTAATTTGGGGACAAAGAGAGAAGTTTGGCCCATTGCCATGCAGTTATAATATGATTACACGACAAATTGGTTCCCCCTTAATTGTACGTTTGTTGTTTTGTTCTATACAAAAGCATGCAACTTTCATCATTTTTCTGTCTTCATGCAACTTATATATATACATAAAAAAAAAAACTATATTATATACATATATATTCTTAGTCTTTGCCTACTTATTGGGAAAAAAAACATCTTATCCTTATAAAATTACCACCAAACTTTGACTGTTTTGTCATAGATGGAGAAGGTAGCTTAAACAAATCTTAATTACTAATTTTCCCTCGTTCCCTTTTTGTTATGTATCGTCTGATGAGAATTAATTTAATTAATTTTTAAAGTTTAATTAAATATTTTTTTTATATATATATTATATAGTTTAACTCATGAAAAATGAAATATGAGAAGTAAGAACGAAAGGCGGGAGTATTTGTTTTTGAATGTTGAAATATGCTTAATTTGTAAGTATGAATTCACGAGTCTTATATTCTTTGTTTATATGACTTATTTCATTTTGGAACGCATTGGGTAGAAAATAGTCCGTTTAACAAAAATATAGTTAAGTAACAAATTTTTGACTTTAGTAAAATTAATTTCTTGATGATATTCCCTCGGTCCAGTAATTACTATCCAAAGATTGACTTTATACACTTTTTAAGTAACTATAAATAAGAGGGTAGTATAAGAATATAATGTCTTGAAAAATAGACAAGTATAAAATTTTCTATTAAGAGGGTAAATTAGGAATTAAATATAAAATTTTCTATTAATTTCACAAAATAGACAAATATTGTTGAACATTTCAAAATAATATAGTAAACAATTATTATTAGATGAATGAAATATTAATATTATTGAAGACCCAACTAATGAAGGGGCGGGGTTTTATTGAAAAATTAAATTGCGAACAAAGTAAATTATTTGTATTATGTATAAACTTTCGGAATTCCTCAACAACAAATTATTGTTTGTGTGGTTGTTACACATTGAGAAAAATGATAAATACACCTTGAACTATTGTAAATGGAATGCAGATACTTTTGTTATACTTTTAAAACATTGGTGTCCCTATCGTTCAAAAAATAGAGCATATATGTCCTTCCCTAAGGGAAGAGTATGATACCATCTTATCCGTCGATAAATGTCGGGTCAGTAGATAAGATTATGACACGTGTATGTCCGTTAGTATAAAGAGTATATATTCTCTAGTTTTTACGACAGAAAACCACCCATAAATATGACAGAAGATATTTACATATCACTAAATTATTATTTATCCTTTTTTCCTTGTTTAATATTTACTCCATTGTATTGTTTAAATCTATAAAATATTTTTAAAAATTCTGAATCCGACATCGTAAGACATACTTGACATATATCATCATCCCTCTTACTTTTCTTTCCTCAATTGGCGGCCCCCACTCTTAAAAGGAAGAAAAAAAAATACTTAGTCAAATGGACAAACAAGTATTCGTATACATATTCGTTTCACACAACAAATGTAAGTGGATGAGGTGATGTCCCTCTCAAAAATCTAGGGGGAAGCAAGAAACACGGATAAAGGGGGAAATGGGAATAGATTTTTTTAGTGAGAATAATCGATAAACGAATCGTTAAAAAATATAGTGTAACAGATGAGACAGTTTTTTCTTAATCAAAAATTTTAATTTCAAGCTTTGATAATGATAAGTAGCGTTTCATTAAAATAGGTGACCATACGTAACACAAATCTAAATTATTTGAGCTTTAGTACAAATATCAGACTCATCGAATCGAGAAAAAAAAATTGTGAATGGACTAGGTAGCTATGTGTGCTTGCTTGGCTTTTTCAAGCACAAAGAGAATACTTATTCGACATGATTTTTTTAGCCTTTCGGCTACTGTGTGCATTTTACGTACTCACAAAATACACAATGAAATGATTGTTTTCTTACCAAAATATATTCGTAATCTTTGTGATTGTTACCTCAGCCTCATGCCAAGACAATTCACACGATTCTCTTTTGATTTCCTAGATCTTCACTTTTTCCTCCTAACAATTACCCACCGAGTTAAAGTCTAACGAAAAATCTTACGTCGGATAAAATTTTTCGTCTTAATAAAGTCTTTAAAGAAAATAATTTTTTTTTTACGAATTATTTAGTTTGCGTTTTGGAAAGGGATAATGCATAAGTATCCTCTCAACCCATGTCCGAAATCTCAGAGACACACTTATACTATACTAAGGTCCTATTACCCCTTGAACTTATTTTATTAATAATTTTTTACCCCTTTTTGATCTATGTGGCACTATTTTGTAGGCCCAACATTGATTGAGTTTTTTTTTCTCAAACTAATGTCACGTAAAAAATTACTTATAAAATAAGTTCAAGGGTAATAGGATCTTAAAATAGTATAAGTGTGTCTCTTAAATTTTCGACATAAGTTGAAGGAGTACTTATGCATTTCCCCCTTTTTGGAAATATAATTTTGAATTATAATGCTTTAATTATTTTATTCCATCTGGAAGGTAGGATGAGATTTCCTGTTAATTTAATGGGATAAGGTGCGACATTTAGGTTAAGTTTATACTTTCTTTTATCGAAAATATAAATTTATTTTGAAATAATTTATTTTTTTTAAATGATTCTATTTTCCTTGTTTCATTTTATTAGGAAAAGAACTTAACAATAAGATTTTTATAGAACCCCTTCAACTTTTACTAAAACAAATATAATTGCTATAATATGCATTTCGTAGATGGTTATTACGCAAAAGTCCTAAAATTAATATTTGAAGCCAAAAAAATTAACTTAACAGTGCATATATTTCTATGAAAATAGAATACATTGAAAAACACTAAATTCAATCCCCAAAGAACATGAAAATTGCCACATATATAAAACTATCAAGTAGACGTTTGATCATGTGATACCATATCATTATATGGTATCGTGAGATGGAATCAGCGTTTAGATATGTGATTTTACGCTAATTCTATCTCATGATTTCATATAATGAGATGTGATATCATATTATCCAAAAACCATGATATGAAATCATATGAGAGTTATTTTAATATAAAAATTGATCCACAAATTTATAATTTGTTTACATGTGGAATTAAATAGTTAGTTATATCTACTAACTATTTATTCCACATGTAAATAAAATTATAATCACATTATTATTTTTTTAAGATCACCAACATAAAAAATTTTATTCTCACCATTATATAATCACTTAAATTAGTTTATGATTTGATGTGACAAAGGAAAGTGAGGTTAAATAAATAAATTGTAAGACGTAGTTTGGTAAATTTAAATTTAAAAAATGATCAAAAATACTTTTGAACTATTTGAAAATATTTAAATATATCCTTTATTGACTTATTGAGTTAAAATTACCTCTCAATCCAATTTCTTTTGTTCACTTTTATCCTTTAAACTAACGATCTTTCTTTATAAATTATTATTAATAATAATTATTATGTGACATATTTCTTTTATCTTTAAAACTAACAACCTTTTCTTTATAAATTATCACTATTATTAATAATTATGTTGCATATTTCTATTAGATAAATTTAAAGGAAAAATTACGCGTATAAGTAAGTATATATTAGCTTATTAGTTAATATAGCTATTTTTGTCTTAACTTACAATTCACAACCTATTTTTAATTATAATCTTGTTACTTAACTTTTTAGTTTCGTATAATTCACATATTTGTATACTATAATTTATATAACTATTTTCACTTTTGATATTTGTAATTGTACAAATTTGTTATTTCGAGTTTATAAAAAAATTTCAAATCATACGCGAATTATGCAAATGAAATTGCTTAAACTAGAGCTACAACCTGTAAATATGCAATCTATAATTATGGAGCGCAATTAAATTTATTATAGAAGCTATTTGCCAAGGTTTCTCAAATTTAAATTACAACCCATCAGATTTTCTCCTATCCCGCCCCGACCCAGATCCAATTAAAATATCCTTTCATTGAGCTTAAATGACCCATTAAATTCGGACTGAGAAATAGGATCCGACAAGTTCGATCCGTTTGTTATAGAAAAGGCACAATCCTCCGTTACACTACCACTGTTTTAGTGAGAAAAATTGAGAATGGCGAGAAGGCGATTGTTGCTGTTGTTAAAGCCATTCGATATGTTACCATCACGTCACTTCGATGAAAGTTCTCATTTCAGAAACTCTAAGGTAATATAAAGTAATTTGTAATTGTTGTATGTATTTTAGGTGTTCGATGATATGCCATAATCATGTATAATACGCCTTGCCCTTGAGACAGCATGCTATTTATATTATTAATGATGCATATTAGAATGAACTTTCGAGAAAACTAGTTGAGGTAGGCCCTCGCGAAGGTGAGGTGTATGCAAACCTTACATATAACTCTGTGGATTAGAGACTGATTTTGATAGACTCGCTGCTGCTATGGTTAAAAGGTATGATGAAAAATATTAAAGAGAAAAAAGTAGTGACAACACAAATATTAAAGATAACCTAAGTATAATAGACAATAACGTAATACAAATAATATTGGTAAGGAAACTAATAGATGCTCCTGGCTAGAACACTGCTCTGCCTTAACAGAGGCGTATCTAGAGGGGTTGCCGTGGATTCACCTGAACCTATGCTCCCCTCTTTAGATCATATATATTAGTGTCATATTCTTTAAAAAAGAGTATTTAAATATAGATGTGTGGATCCATATTTAAAGTATCATATAATAATATAATGATGATTGGGTGCACTTTCTTTTTGAGTAACACCTTTTCAAGTGGTTCTCTAGCATGTTTTGACGTTTCAACTAATTTTGCTTTTGTTTTTTCCCTTTAATCTTTCAAAATTTTCAAGTGTGTTACATTTGAAATTCCTAAAAAAATTAACACCATAAATTTTTTGTATAATTAAATCTAATGCGTATATTAAAATCTAAAACTAGTGATATACCTATAATTTTTCAAAATTTTATACTTCATATTAACAACCTAAAATCCAAACCGATCAAATTTATATTTAAGATATATTTTCGTTATTGTGCAACCATCTAGCCGAAATTCTAGATACACCTTTGTACCCTAATACTCGACTTCTATGCTATCTTATCTCCAGGGTTATGTCCTCATTGAGCTGAAGATGTGTCATGTCTTGTGTAATCACGTTTCTCCGCTTCTTACTTGGTCTACCTTTACATCTAGTCAAGCGTATCACCGTTGACCTCTTGGACCTCCTCACTAGGGCATTTGAGCTTCTGTTATTCACATGTACGAACCATCTCAACATCGCTTTTCGCATCTTGTCTATCACCGTGGCTACACTCACCTTGCCCCATATATCTTCTTGACTGGTCATCCATCTAAGAATCCTCATTTCTGCTATTTGAAGGTGTGACTTCACGACTAGCCAACACTACACCCAGTACAACACAGTCGGTCTAACAACCACTCTATAGAACTTACCTTTAGGTTTCGGTGACACATTCTTATCAATAGGACACTGGATGCGAGCCTATATTTCATCCATCCCGCTATACGATTTGCTACATCCTCGTTGATCTACCATTTTCTTGGATTATTAACTCAAGATACTTGAAGCTTCCACTCTTGTGGATGACTTGTATATCAATCCTCACTTCCCCATCCACCGCCTGTGATGAGAAACTGAACATGTATTCCAGTACTCTTGAAACCATTAGACTCTAGGCTTTGTCTCCATATCTCCAACTCCTCTGTACTCGTACTAGTTGAGGCAATGGACAGGGGTGGCCTGCTTTGTGGCGTTCCGTGTTTAAAGGTGGAACTACAATGGTTGAAGGATGGTAGTTCAAGCTACCTATTCAACTGACCATTCTTCCCCCACTGTATGTCCACCCCTGCCTTTGGGTATTAGCCTGCTAATTATTTTGTTGATGTTGGTAAAATATATTGATAAAAGGTCTCCATTAGAATGACTTGGTGATCTTTAAAGAAAACTAGTTGAAACAAAGAAAGATCGTACTTATTCTCTTATATATCGCTTAGTGAAATTTGAAGCATTATGCTTTTTCTAGAAGAATTTCTTTGTTGACTTCTACATGTTATCAATTTCAAAACCAAATATTCTTCTGTTGACTTCTTTATGTTGATGTTGATTTGTACAATTGTTTGTTCTATTTAAGTGTTTTTGGATATTTTGTTAAATATTACATAATTTAATTTAATTTTTTGATGCATCCATCTATCGAAAAAAGTTTTATTGCTTCTTCAATGTTTGGATGTCCTTAGCGAGTTCCTGGCCGCTGTCCTGGGTCCTTCACTCAGTCGTTCGTTACACATGAAAATGTTGTTTAACAGAACAGAATTCTATGAACCGGAATTAACATGCACCATTGGATAAACAGAAAAGAAGAAATTAATAGTCCTTGTACAAAGGGGGCAACTATTTGACTACCCATAACCATTGACAGCTCAGATTCTCCCCTCCCTTAGTTATTTTTCCTTTGAAAGTTGTACTTCCGAGATATTTTGTTGATTGTTACTTGCATAACTAGTTATGTGCTAGAGCTTGGAACTTTAAAGTATTCAAGCAATTGAATGATATCACCTGGCTGATTCTGGTGGCTATTATGTCTTTAGCAGGTAATATGTCATTAAAATTAGAACATTTCTCGACTCCCGAGACTAATTGACCCATAATAACTAGCAGATGATTTGCACTCCAATCATTTTGAACATGATATTCTTTTCTTTTACACGTTATTCTCAAATATTTTAAGTCCCTGATGACTGTCTTATGCCTCAATTCTTAAATTCTGATGCTCCAGTAGGGTGAGACTTCTTCTCCTGCAGTTATCGCAGGTTATAAAATATCTAGACAGTAGATCTCTGGTTCATATGGAGGCTATTAACTTCTGTCAAAATATTTTGAGGAAAAAGCATGTCGATTGGGAAGCTGTTTATCGTTTTAATCTATGTCGGCCGATCCGTGATGTAGATTTAGTAGTTACCATAGGGGGAGATGGTACGTTACTGCAGGCAAGCCATTTTATGGATGATTCCATTCCTGTTCTAGGAGTAAATTCTGACCCAACTCAAGCAGAAGAGGTTAGCTCATTTTACAATTGTTTATGATTTGTGGCTATTAACTTCTTCAGAATCCATATTCAAGTCCACCTGTGATGACTTCTATTTCAAGTTGTTGTGTCACTTCTTATGTGGTTTAGGTTGAAGATTGCAATAAAGAATTTGACGCTACAAGGAGTACAGGATATCTTTGTGCGGCAACTGTTAAGAACTTTGAACAAGTGAGACTTTGTTACTTATTATTTATGTTTTCCCATAAATATACTCGTGACTTTGTATGATTACTCATGATTAAATTCAAGTGTATGCTTTTAGTTATTGATACAAATCTAGTGTGCAGTAGAAATGGTTGGTTTTCTGGCGCCTAAAGTTTGTTTTAGTTAGTCTTGCTATCACCAGTGAGACTTGGCTCCAGTGGCAACGAGCCTCATAACCTTTAGGTCTATTTTATTTATTATTTTGAGGGAAAAAAAGAACTCCCGATTTTGTATAACTGTCAGGAATTGTTGTCATGCTTAATTACTTTTTTTTTTTAATGGTTCTCCCACTCTGGATTATGCTTCACCCTTTGTAAGAGCAATAAAGTTGTTTTTTGTACTCTAGCTTTTACTTGTGCATTTTAAGTTTCCAAAAGATCTTGTCCATAAAAGCATAAAAACTTGGTTTATTTGAGACTACCACCGAGCAACATGCATGGGGATCAGAAAGCGCAAAATGTGGTTCAAAGATCATGAAACAGTCTGCTTCAACACAATGATGTCCCTGCATATATCCTAGTTGTATCATGGGGACAGACTGTCATTATAACGGTTAACTAGCTCGTTTATACTGTCTTGCTTCAGCTGGAGTGATGTTAGCTTCTTCTTATGTGGAGTTATGCATATTAATGGGGTGACTCCCAACAAAATGAATCATTTCATGCTCACAGTAGCATATTCACTTTCACATAGGGACACAACTTTTTCACCATGATGCTGCCACAACTCTTGATTTAGGATCCTTTTTTTTTTGTGGCGGTGGGTTAATTTCCTAAAGCTGCCTTAGGTATTAACTAATAACCTTTTGTTGCAGATAATAGATGATATACTTGAAAATCATGCTAGACCTTCTGAAGTCTCAAGGATGTCAATCACTCACAACTCAAAGCAACTTCCGACTTACGCACTTAATGATGTTTTAATTTGCCATCCTAGCCCTGCTACAGTTTCTCGATTCTCATTCAGGTGAAGGTTTAATTCGTTGTAGCTTATGAAGCATACTGCCCCCATATATGCTGTGTTGAGGTAGGTGCTTAATGATGTTTTCTCTTGACAGTAAAAAGAAAGAGGGCCAGTCTTCTTCTTCAATGGTGCATTGCAGATCAAGTGGACTTAGAGTGTCAACAGCTGCTGGGTCAACAGCAGCAATGCTTTCAAGTGGTGGATTTGCAATGCCAATTTTGTCCCGAGATCTCCAGTATATAGTGAGAGAACCCATTTCTCCTGGAGCTTATAATAGCGCGATGCACGGTACTGTGAAGCCTGAGGAGTTGATGGAGATTGCATGGTATTGCAACGAAGGGCTGATTTATATCGATGGCTCTCATATTATTCACTCTGTTCAACATGGGGATATCATTGAACTCTCTTGCAAAGCTCCAAAATTGAAAATTTTCTTGCCATCTCACTTGATATCGTAAGAGTACATAACAGAATTGAACTCTTGTAAATTTGTTTACATGAAGGTGTACATAAGGGTTTGGCAGATTCTCCCTTTTAACTCTTGCAACCTTTTCTTTTTATTGCACAATGATAGATGATGACAGTTTTACAATTTCTCAGCTCAAAGACTGCAGGGATGACGGTTGTGGCCTAGGATTCTGCTCTCTAGACTTGCAACTCCAGAAACACTATTACGACGAGATGTGGATCACATTTCAAAGTAGTTCTAATCATGCAAAAGAGGTAGTTTCTAGTTGAAGATGCTTATAGACTTATCAGTTATCACATTGTTTTAGTATGAACGTTGAGGTGTCCGAGTTGAGTCCTCCTTAAGGAGATGTTATGAGGTTTATCTAGGTTTCGAGTTAAGTTACATACACATAAAGAATACCCAATTGGGAACTTGGCTATTGAAGATGGGGATACAATGCATAGACACTGGCATATACAGTTTCCTTTTTATACAACTTGTGATATTTTTCTTCTTTTTGTATGTCTTGATGAAAAATATGTGTGTATTGGGGTGGGTGGGGAGGGGATCTTAAATGTCAAATGGCATTGAAGATCTTAGTGATTGCAGTATAGAAAAACTATGCATTCACTGGTTGTGACAAACACACGCAGGCCATAGTAGAGAAGTCATTACAAGTAGGATGATAGATACTGATCACAAAAAAGTAACGAGGTGACACCCATACTAAATTGTGTGTCGGCTTCATCAAAGCTATTGCCTTCCACTAGAAAAGAATCAACTTCACGATTTACTGGTATAGTGATGAGACTACTTCATCCTTAATCAGAGATCTCGAGTTTGAAAATTCTGTTGAAAACGTCACCCTTGAATGGGTCCTAGAGTGTGCGATCTTAATTTAGTCGGTAATTCAATGTCACATGGGAAGCAAAAAAATATCGACTTCATTTTAGCAAGGACATTAGATATTATATGTGACTTTGTAGATCATACCACTTGCACAATTTATTAGTAGGACATAAGATTCGGAATTTGAATTTAAGTTTTGATTTAGAATCATAATTTTTGGTTGTTAGATATGAAATTTACCTTACATATTCAGACATAATTTCAACTTCAAATGAATCATTTTCCAAGTCAAGGTCAAAGAGACCTATTTAGTGATAAATGAGACTTAATGTACTATATTTCAAATTAATAATCTCATTGGCTTTATAATATTTTTTTTAAAATTATTTTGGATAATGTTTAATAGGTATGGGTGAATTTATGATATATACATGTGGGGTTTCCCTGGCCTTCCCACAAGTATACAAACTACTCCACACCATCCCCTCATTACTTTTTACTGTTATTCATTATATATCGTTGTATAATAGAGTATCTAAGGATGGTAGGTAGATATTGCGAGTTTAAATTTCATAAATAACAGGATTAGGTAATGATTTCTCATTTATTCAAATTTTGGTGCATATTCAATACATATATGATTATATCAATGAATAAAAAAAATCACATATTTTTTTAAATACTTTTAAAATCTGATTTTCAATATCAGTCATTGCCACATCAAATCGTTTCGTATAAATTCCATCGGAATAACAAGTGATTGAACTTGTAAATAGGAAAGTCTATTGAAATTTAATCATTTTTCGTATTTATTAATTTAAAAAAGAAAAAAAATATTTTAATACTTGATTTTAACTCTTTACATAGATATTATCTAACATATAATCTTTCTTTTGGCTTCTATTAAAAAAAAAAGATCTTTTTCGGATAAAGTATTCTAATGGATATTATTCTTGTCTTTTTATTGATATTTTTTTTATAGGACTATAGTAATATATATAAAATAACAAAATATCATTGGGAGTAGATACAATAAAATCGTCAACAGTACCCACATCCAGCTCAGCGGGTCACCATTATAAACCCGACACGTTCTCTCAAAATCAACCATTTCTTTATTTTCCCCCAAATTTTTCAGAAAGCTCACAGTTTATTCGTTTCATTTACTGCATAAACCCATTTTTGCAACTTCCAGATCTTTTGCTTCTTCATACGTCGGAGTGCTGAAGAAGTGATGAAGATTCAGTGTAATGTTTGTGAGGTTGCGGAGGCGAACGTGTTGTGCTGCGCCGATGAGGCGGCGTTGTGTTGGTCGTGTGATGAGAAGGTTCATGCTGCTAATAAGCTTGCTAGTAAACATCAGAGAGTTCCTTTATCTGGTTCTTCTTCATCTATGCCTATGTGTGATATCTGCCAGGTATGTAATTGTACTCAGTGAATTGAATGGATTTTGTGGATATTGCTATTCGGATTCAGCTGTGTCAGTTGTATTTACTTTTATTTGTTTTGGAGTAGCGTAAATTAGACGTAGATAAAGTTGTATTTTTTTTTACTTTTTTGGTTTTTTTAGTAGTATAAGTTAATGATAGGTATTGTGGGTTTATTGATACTACTGTTTATAGAATAATAACAATATTTCTTAGTGTAATTCCACAAGTAGCGTCTGAGGGTGGTATGTATGCAGCCTTACTCTTATCTTGGGAAGGCGGTGAGACTGTGTATGATCCTTGGCTCAAGGATGAAAATACAGTCTTGATGAAAATAATGGAGAAAAGAACAGTAGTTGGAATAAGTAATATCAATGATTGAGGCAAAGGAAGCAATATGTAATGATAAAATCATAGACTAAGCTTGTATGGGAATAATAAAAATGATACTAATAAGGGAAACTTGCAGTATAAGCACTATGTCTAGGTCCTAGTCAACTTGAACCTATTGCATTTCAGAGTCTGTCTTACAACCTCCAGCCTACGGTTAACTCCGTTGTGTGTCTATTCAATCAATACTATGTTATTTGCAAATAACATATACCATGGCACCTCCATCAGATATGTTGCATCAGTTCATCCATCACCAGACAAATTAAAACGGGCTTAAGTTGATCTATGTTGCAATCCCGTCGTGACTTGAAAGTGTTCCTAGTCTCTTCCCACTTCCGTACCCAGATCTTGGCTCCACCGTATCTGTCCTTATTCGCCCTAATGTAAGCTATGGGTACACCTCTACCCTCCAAACATCTTCACACATGACACAACCTCCTTAGGACCTTGTTGTACATACTTCTAGTTTAATGAACACCATATGTAAGTCCATCTTCCTCTCCCTATACTGACAGCCCTTCACGCCTCATCTCTACCACCCTCTCTTAAATTTTTATATTGTGACTTTGCAACTTGATACCCCTATGGTTGTCATATTTCTGTAATCTGTACATATCCCTTGTTCTTGTAAAACGAGATCATTGTACTCCACCTTTTTTGTTCGGGCAATTTTTATGTTCTAAAAGTGACGGTAAACAATCGAGTTAGCCACTACATGCCTGATACTACTGTATATGTGTCTTAAAAATTTCAAGTGCTACTGAACTAATTCTTTTGTTTTGTGGAAAGATATGCAAGTAAAGTTAAAATCGAGGTGCAAATCTAATTTCTTTTAATCATGTTGTTTCAATAGAAATTGCATATTTGGTCTTTGCTTACCTTGATGTCCCACCCCTTCCCTTCAAAAAATAAAAAGGAAACCCACAGAAGAGGCAGGGAAGAACAAAATAAAGAAAGGAGATTAGGGGTATTCCTTCCTGCATGCATTATGAAGATATGCAGATCTTTTTCACGAATGGATATATGGAGGTCTAAGTTAAATATTCTGCTGCCTTCTTGATTGGTTATGGTTCCATGAAAAGCTGCTGATTCATGGAAATTAATGTAGGATATGGTTTGCATATGGCATGTGGAGGGCTCATCTAGAGGTTCTTAATGTTAAACTATGGGCTACCCTTTTCCCTTATTTGGCAGTCCTTTTGGGCAAGAGATTAAGGAAGCAAGAGGTGATAGATTCCTACTTTTCTGCTTAGAGGTTTCTCAACGTCTGTTTATAAGATATACTGAAATGCATTATCGGGTGATCCATGTTATAGGAATAAAAGTGGAATTCGAGATGTAATGACAGAATTCAGTCCAAACATGTGATCATCAGAAGAAAGTGTATTACACATATCAAGAAGGACAACCAATTGTGATTACTTGTTGTTCACATAAGGGTTCATGGTTAAGGATCGTTTATTGTTCACTTTTTCCTGAAGAGGAAAAACTGAGGTTGAGTCCAGTCTCCTTTATTAATTTATCTTATTGAAAAAGGTTGAAAAAAGAGGTCTTGGGATGGGGGGAGAAGGTGAGGTGATGGTGCATTTACCCTCTTATAAAGGAGAAACCTAATCTGGAGCCTTAGCCATAACCTGTTCTCCAGTTCATAATTATGAATATTCATAGAGAGAAAACTATTGTTAACTTTTGCAACCCTCACCTTTGCTTTAGGGGGGATCCACTCCATGTTTCAAAAAACATATAGAAGCTCAGTTAGAGGTTGAAAATGTTAGTATCACATAGGATTAAATGTGCCTGTTCAGATTGTAATGCTTACGCAATCATCTGGAGTGCTCATGATATCAAATCATGAACATTACTGGCCTTTTATTCTATTGTAAGTGCAGATATTAATCACGTTAAGGAGTTTGTGGTTATTAGTTGGACTCATACTGTTGCATGAAGCATAAGTTACCATTTGGCATAGCGGAAGTGATTGCATCTTTCTCTTCTGGAGATTTGATTTGATAGCTGAGGTTTTTATTTTCCTTTTCCTTTGTGGACCCAAAACTGTTATTTCCCAAGTTTATGAAATTCTGCTACCTTCTAATAAGAGTCCCTTCACTTCTGTGCTTCAGTGTGACTTTAGATGTATACAATTCATGTTTATTTATCTATCAATTTCTTTTTTCCTTTTTTAAATTGGTCATATCTCCAGTTTATTGGTGCCGTACTATTCTGAGTATTGATAAAAAGGATTCTATTTATGCAGGAAACAGTTGGCTACTTCTTTTGTCTTGAGGATCGGGCATTACTTTGCCGAAAATGTGATATTGCTATTCACACAGCTAATCCTCATGTTGCTGCTCACCAAAGATTTTTGCTGACTGGAGTGAAAGTAGGACTTGAACCTGTTGATCCTGGTGGTATTTCATCCTCAGGGACATCACAGTCCATTCAGAAGGTTTCTGAGCCAGAGTCTGCTCCACTTTCAAAACGGAATGCCTCAGTATCATTGGATGCTCAATTTAACAAAGTGTTACCTACCCAGGTCAGTGGCATTGAGGATTTTGCTCCTACTAAGTCTCCGTTTGCTGGAGGTTCTGCAGCTGGAAGTATGCCACAATGGCAGTTCGATGAATTTATTGGTCTGAGTGATTTCAATCAAAATTATGGATACATGGATGATGGATCATCTAAGGTACGGTTTAAGTTGTAGTTGTTGTTTGTAGTTTTCACAATTGAAATTAGATGAATTTCTTGGACTGCATTTTAATCAGAAGTATGGGATGGATGACTGATTACTTGAGGTATTATTTAGATCTTACTTTTCATGAATATCTTGGACTGCAACTGTATTTCTGATATTGGATTATCATCCAAAAGAGAAAAATCCCTGATGGAGTCTATTCCTGCCAGTAATGTTGTGTGGCATGCATGCTCTGTTATCTATACTTAAGGGTTTAAGTCGTAAGCGTGTATTTTCCCCTACAAGAAACCAGAGAATAATCTTCATCTAAAAACATGGAACTGGAAAAATGAGTTTATGGTTGGATTATCTGTTGGTAGGACCACTTTATGCATATACTGGTAGCCCCAATCCAATCTTTTGATTGGACAGACATTTTGCCACGAACTTGCCCTTCCCCTTCATATGACAAACTCATAGGTGATAAAGATTGTTGGAGTATTACCATATTGGTGATATCGCACTTCGCCAAGTAAATTTGGGCCTCTCAAATGCTTGGAACTCCGAGTCTCGATTAGTGTTGAATATAGACATTCTAAAGTGCACCATTATTATTAGCATGTGGCTGGATCACAACCTTGCTTAGGGTTGTGACAAAATAGAAGCAGCTTTAGCTATTGCATCATGCCCTTTTGTTTTGGGCATTCATGCTACAGAAAATATGCCTTGGTGTTAAGTCACATTATTGTTTCTATGGGTGCTTAGTATATGAAGATACATTTTCGACCTTATGGTTGCTAGATATGACTAGTCAATTATTTTCCAAAAAGAAATATTTGGTATATCGCTTGCCTCTTTGCTATAAGTAGAATGCATGGATATACCCAGATAATCAATAATTTGCACAGGGATTATGTTCAATGGCTTCTAAATTAGTTCCTCCATTAAAATCTATCAGGCGGATAATGGCAAACTTGGTGGAGAGTCGGACTCTTCATCAATCTTAAGAGTTGAAGATGAAGAACTAGATGGTGATGAGTGCTTGGGTCAGGTGCCAGACACATCTTGGGCAGTGCCACAAGTTCCTTCCCCACCTACGGCCTCTGGACTTTACTGGCCCAAAACTTACCAGAATCCGTTCGACTCTGCAGTGTTTGTGCCTGACATTAGTTACTCCCCTTCATCGAGCCTTCAACAACAACCTCCAAGTGGTACTCGTCTGAAACGAAGAAGGCAGTGTTAATGCACTTTAAGATTCTTCGCTCACGTTTGTGATAGGTGATTCAGATCCCTAAGCTGTTCGCTCATGTTAGTGATAGGTGTTGCAGATCCCTAAGCTCTTCACTAAAGTTAGTGATAGGTGTCTAGATAGAGCGGTGTGTGGTAGTTGAAATTTGATTTAAAGTTGTTTCCGCAATGATTATTGTGTGTTTCTCCAATGTAAGTAACCTGCACTGTCTGCTGCAGTTACATAGAATGCCAAAAGTGTATTAGTTCCACTCCAATTCCCAGAAGTTGTACAAGAAAATGAATTTGTGTAAAACTGGAACCAGAGAAAAATGACCAGTGTATCATCTTAATTTACCTCCTCTTCACTTTTTCTCCTAGTCGATTTGAAATTGCATATTAGAAATGTGCATTTTAGTTCACTTTGTTGAATATTTGTATTCTAGCCCATCATCGACAATAATATATTCAGTGTAATTCCACAAGGGTTGGAGACAGTAACATGTATACAGACCTTACCCTTACCTTTGTCGGGTAGAGAGGTTATTTCTGATGATTCTTTGGTTTCCCCCACCCCACCCAAAACACACACATAGTAAAGGAGAATTCAAACATCTAGCGTCACAAGTTATATGAATATCTACATTATCATGCATTGTTTACCCATATTAAATATAGACGGGTCAGGCGTTTGATTTTTTTTTTTTGGTCTTAACCTATTTTCAACCCGTACAGGATCCCTTCATTTCCCAATAGCCTCATGATGCGTTGTTAAAAGTGGCTGGTCCAAGCTTTGCTTATCTTTGTATAAAATCATATTCAAAGTGGATGAAGTTATAAGTGGTCGAAATCAAGAGGCAGCTCATTTGCATTGGTACCTACTGTCAATTATTGTATAGAAGAGCTGTAAAAGCTCTACTATTTGCTCATCTAATGTTAACACATGCCTTTGCCTAACCTAAGGCCCCCCCCACATGGGAGAAATTTGCAAATTTAGGCTTCCAACTTAAGTAAATAAGTAGACTTTGACATATATATATATATATATATATATATATATATATATATATATATATATATATAAACACGTGAAATGGTTGCATTAGGCTTCGAGTTGGAGAGTACTTATTGGAAAAGGGGGTTCAACTGAACTCTCCTCGATCTCTGTCTGTTTTCTAGATTTGGAAAAGCGTAGATTTTTCAAGAATGAGAATCATATGATATGTTGGAAATTTCTTATGATATCTTAATGCGTGAAAGTTAGATAGGATAATGCTATGTCCACTTAGACAAATGCAGATATTCAAGAATTGCGAGTTGTGTTATAAATTAAACAGGTCTAGTTTAAGAAATTATCAATATGTAAGATGCTTTATTTGGATTATGTTGATTTCGTCAATGTTGATCCCAAACTCTATAGCATGTTTGGAATAAAATTTCCGACTTCGTCATCAACCATAAGCAAAAAAACACATTGGTTTTGCATTGAGCAATGGTTCAAAGTTTTGGCGTAGTGGTATAATCCGACTGGCCTTATAAGTTTGCTGATAACATAAACTGTTCTTTTAGATGCTTTAAAAAGCCTTAAAAGACATAATAAACGTGCTAGCCTTTTACTTTACGAATCTTTAATAAAATAGTTGTGGTTGCCCATCATGTGCTTAGGAGCCATTTTTCTCCTTTTTTTGAGGGGTCACTTCTCTTGTACGTTATTTATGATGCGTGAGGATCACCTTTTTCTTTTCTTTTTTTTTTCGAATTAATCGTAATCTTTCGAGTCAATTTGCTCAAACCTCGACTAATTTCATAAAAATACAAAGAAATTATTTAGCATTTTCTTTTTGTCTCTATTGAGATATGGTTATATCTTTAAGTACTAGACCTCGACTAATTTTATCAAATATTTACACAAAAACTTGAACAAATGATAAAAAGCATATCATAATATATCTCCAAAAATTTGAATCTCGAACTTCATAGTTTTTAATCCGTTTTATCTTTTTTTTGTTTTTCACCCTGAGTTAATTGGTCTCTCGCTTCCTAACAAAGATGATTTTATATTTAGAAAAAAATTAAATTTAAAATTTTTAATTAAAAATAAATTATTTGTTATTGATTAGCAGGTCAGTTACACATTTAGTTGCATTATCATGTGTCAAGGACATTGTGCCCTCCCATTAATGTATGCCTGTAAGATTGACTTGGAGGACCTTGAAAAACTCAACTGTTGACAAATCCAATTGCATCTCATAAATTATTTAGCACAGAAAACAAAAAAAAAATTAGAAATTAAATATGAAAACTACCCATTCAAATTCCAGCTCAAACTTGAACTGAATTGATTGCCCTATGAGTACCAAGTATAAACTCCATTTTTTTTTTCAAACCAAAAAAAAAAAAACAGAACCACCCTATACATATTAATTTACAGAACCTAAATCATCACACTCATAGTGACAATATTACTTATTCACTCTTTTTTTTAAAGATACTAATAATTATCAAATTATTTTTTTTAACTTTTTTGATCATGAGGAAACATAAAAGACATTGAAGAAATTTTACTTGTTATCGTATCCAATATTTCTGATGCAGATGGCCTTAGGCTTGGTGAATCACCAAGACAAAATCCTGCTAATGACACCATAGCTTTAGCTTCTTCCAAATTATAAGCTCCGTTAAGCTTTGAATCCACCATTTCTATAACTTTAGATGAATCCCTTAATATAGTTCCAGCTTTTGATATTAATCTTTCTCCATTATCCGATGAAAGAGCTTCGAATCCAGAAATTAACTCTAGAACGATTATGCCATAGCTGTAGATATCGTTCTTCTTCGAAGCAATGCCAGTTCTCAAGTAATGAGGATCTGTGTATCCTGGAGAACCAAGCATCATTCGATTTGCTGATGGTGGTAGAATTGTGGAAGAAAATCCCATTTTGGCTGACCCAAAATCGCAGAGTTTAGAGTTGTATTTCTTGTCTAGTAAAATATTAGAAGCCTTGATATCCCCATGGACGATTGGGAGTGGGCATTTGTCATGGAGATATTCTATGGCTTTAGCAAGTTGAAATGCTATAGCCATACGATTTCTCCAGGAAAGTGATTTTCTACCATCAACGCCGCCGTGTAGTTTCTCCTGTAGAGTTCCATTAGGCACATATTCAAAAACTAACATACCTTCTTCTCCGTTGTCACAATTTCCTAGAAATTTCACAATGTTTTCGTGTTGAATTTGCAGCAAAATGTCTAATTCTTGCTTGTAAACTCTCTGAAAACGCTCAGAGCTTAAATCCATGATCTTCACAGCAGCAAGCATTGAATCTGGAAATTGAGCTAAATACACCATACTAAATCCTCCATAAGCAATCAACCTCGACCTCGATAAATTCATAGTGAATTTCTCAACTTCATCACAAGTAAATAACCTCTTCACCCCTAATTTCTTCAAATCCCCATTTTCTTCTAAATCCCCTGTAACCCTAGCATCAGTACCCTTACCCCGCCGCCTTAACTTGAACCCCAAACACTTAAACAACGCCATTAAAGCAAAGCAAACAAACACCAAAACTGAAACAACAACAACAAAAACTCTGTTATCGTAAAATGTATTTTTCTGGGTTGGAGTTGAATCAACAATACTATAAAGGGGTTTCGTCGGTGGAGTGGCGAGTAAGGGTTTTGATGAAGCAGAGGAAGAAGAAGAAATGGTGAAAAAGAGAAATATAGAAAAGAAATAGGAACAAGTGAACAAAGAACCCCACCACCTACAGACAAATCGACTATTTCTATGTATAGAGTTGTTTGATTTTGAAATTTTCTTAATATTTGACATTTTTTTACTCTTTACAGTGCTGGAAGGTGAGGCTTCCATGGAAGCAACAAAATCCAACAAGGGATTTTTTTTTTATTTCTAAAAACAAAGATAATATTATACCGAGGAAAAAAAATTAAAATAAGTGGAGACATGATAAAAATAAATATAATCAATGTAGTAGGAATAGGAATAATAAAAGTGGGAAAATGCATATAGTTTATAAAAATGTGAAGGGGGTGACTCGGAAAGGCAACAATTGATTAAAATAGGCTATTTAGTGTCCCTCAGCGGTACAAAAATCGAACCTATCGATAAGTCAGGAAAAAAAATAAAAAAATAGGATAACTTTCACATATATCAAATAAAAAATTTATATTTGTATATTATAACAAAGTTTGAATAATTGCGCTCAGTTGAAGCAAATTGTATGAAACGAAGTGTATAAAACAAGAAAGAGAAAAACATTTGGGCAGAGAACTGTATAAAAAAGAAGTGTATAAAACGAATTGTATTATTATAAGTGTATAGAACGACTATATACAATTTGATTTTGTATAAAATGAAAAAGAGAGAAAGACAAAAGAGACTTGACAAAGAATATACAATTGAATCGAATTGTATAAAACGAGAAAGAGAAAAATTAGATACAATTTGAAAATTGTATAAAACGAGAATGAGAGAAAGGCAAAAGAAACTGGGCAAGGGAGTATTTTTATTGTATAATTATAAGTGTATAGAATATATGTACTTTCATGTGTATATACAATTTTCTCACGCTTTATACAAATAGAAACGTCACTTATACATTTCGCTTCTGTTTGTATAAGTGAGTTGTATAAGTGAGAAAGGCAAGGGTGGCGAACGAGATTTGGGAGAGTGGCGAGCGAGATCTGAAAGAGGGGAGAGAGGGGAACAAAAAGATATGTATTATACAATTTTCTCGGCTTTATACAACTAGAAACAATTTTTATACACTTGTGTTTGTATAAAAAGTGAGGAAGCGAGCGAGAGATTGGAGGACAGTGGCGAGCGAGATATTTGGAAAAGAGGCGCCTGACAATTTTTGCAAACGTTTGCTATGGAGCACAATTAAATCAAACCCTAGCTACTCCATTTATTTTAGGTTATTAGTTTGCTATTTATTATATACAATTTTCCCAAAAAAATATTATTAGATTAACATATTTTTAATAATTCTATAAAAAAATAAAAATTGAATTATCGATTTGGTATTAATTTTTTATATTGAATAAATTGATAATTCGTTAATACGATAGTAAGCTATTACTATACTCTTCATAAATATTAAATACTATTAATAATTTAATATAGCTAGATTCTGCATTATAGCCTTTGTATTATATCTGCTCTTATTGATAAAATTTTTCATTATATTTTTTATTTTACTATATCAAAGCATATATATTTAATTTGTTTGTCTTACTGTATCATATCAAAGCATAATTGATAAACCGAAGGGAGAGTAATATGATTATAATTATACTCCTTGTATTAAGGGTTTAGTTTGAGTCAACTTTTTCTATAATGGAA